CCAGGCAAGGGCAGCACGGCCACCGCGGCGTCACTGCGATGGCCGGGGCGCGCGCGAGCGGGGCGTCGGGGAGCGGGCAGGCGCAACCGCCAGGGTCGTGGGCGAGCGCAGCCGCCGGGGCACGGGCAGCCGCGGCCGCGGCGGCTCGGGACGGGACGCGACGGGGCGGGGGCGGAGGCAAGCGCGTTGCCCGGGATCGGCGCGGCTCATGGCGGGGCAGGGGCGCCGGCGCGGCCACCGGCAAGGGCGGGGCGGAGGCGCGGCCGAGGCTGCCGAGGCTCGGCTCGTGGCGGGGCCGCAGCGAGGCCGCCGTTTGCGCCATTGCTTGGCCTTGGACGGGGCCGAGCGGGAGCGAGCCCGCCGGTCAGCACGCGGCCGCAGTCTCCGCAGCGAGCGTCGCCGCTCGGTGCTGCTCTCGCTATGCGTCGGGAGAGTCGACGACGACGAAGAAGAAAGGCCGTCGTGGGAAGAAAGAGGATAAGGCGTGGGGAAGAAAGAGGATAAGGGGAAAAGAGAAAAAATAAAAAAGAGAAGGGTATAACAGTCATTTCGTTTATTTCTACTAGAAAAAACCATTTTGCTAAATGGATTTCCAAAACAGCTTTAGGTTCACTGAAAAAGCTACTCATAAAACTAAAACTCAATATAACGACTTAAATGGTGAAGCTGAGCTATGCCAAACGGAACATAAACAGTGCCGGTACTTTCTCCGTAAAAAAAATACAATTATAGCTTTAGAACATATCAACTTTCTTAAATTTGATTAATTTTATAAAAATAAAAATAATATTTATATTTTTAAATCTGTTATTATAAAAATATATTTTTATAATTAATCCGATGAAACTTACTCCCTCCGTTACTTAAAAAAATAACGTTCTGTCTCCTATACGCAAAGATGCAAAAAAACGTCGTTATGGATCCAACTACGGTTTTGTGGACGCTAAAGCCCCTGCCCCATCGATCCATGCATCGTGAATTGATGACGGGACCGTTCGTTCCTCGATGCCGCAACAAACTCGATTTCCTCGATTCCCCCATCGCGTTGTTGCTTCGCTTCCGCACGCTTCCACTCGCGCTTTAAAGCCTTCGTCGCTGCCTGCCGCCGCACACCATGGATCCAAAGACATCGCCGCTTTCGCGCGCCGCCGCTTCGTGCTTCGTTCGCCGCGCTTCATCGCCGCCGTGCTTTCGCTTCGCCGCTTTCGTGCTTTCGCCGCTTCGCTGCTTTTGCCTTCGCCGCTTCGCCTTCGCCGCCGCCGCTTTACTTTCGCCGCTGCCGCTTCGCCGCCGCTTCGTGCTTTCGCCGCTTCGTGCTTTCGCCGCTTTCGTGCTTTCGCCGCTTCGTCGCTTTCGCCGCTTATGCTCGCATCGCCCGCTTCGCGCTTCGCCGTGCCATGGATCCAGCGCCAGTGACTCATTGTCGGAGGAGGTGGTGCCGGACTCCACGCCGAGTCGCAGCAGCCTTCGCCGGACTTCGGAGATGGTGCGGACTCCATCGAGGTGGTGCCGGACTCCATCGAGATGGTGCCGGACTTCGAGAGATGGTGCCGGATTCCTTGCCACGGGCGCTTTTATATCGGTAGATGTCATCTTGTCCATGAGGACCGCGAATCCACGGAACCGCGGCGCTTTTCATGGTTCTATCCATGCTCTCGGCCGTGGTTTAGTGCACTTTGTGACTACGACGTCTTGGCGTTCTGCATGGCCTCAAAGACTTCGACTGCAAGCTTTTCATTCCAGATGTCAACAATATCATGATGGAAGGCAATTGGTGGATTGTTCTACCTCCACAGGTGCTCAAGATGATCGACGAGAAGAAGCGCGAGCTTGATGCAAAGAAGAAGCAAGATGTAGAACAACAACATTAAGGTACATGTCTCATTCGGCTAACAAAAGCTAACTAGCATGCAACAAAGACTAACATGCTTGCATCTTCTAGTTTGCTAACATGCTTGCATTTTCTAATTTGTTACAGGGAGACTAGCAATGCATTCAGCAAGCACGGAAGCTTCACAAGGGATAGAAGTTGGCAGTCGATCTTCTCTTTCTAATTTATCTTTGTTCATGTGAGGGATCTTGAACTTGTTGCATCCTTTGACCTTCATAGCTTCAATGTAAACATTTTGTAGTGTTACAAAGATCCGGTTAGTAAGCTTTACCGAAAATTGTATGAATGCCTACAAAACAAGTATATGCAAAGAAATGAATTAATGAGCAAATCAGTAGTTCAAGAAACAATGAAACATGTGTGCACAATTTGATCAAATTACTTCAGCGAATCACTGGAACTAGAGTTTCTAATGTTTTTGCATTCTTCTTGTATTGAATTGCTTGAATAGCTCAAAAAAAACCCAAGTCAAGAACGTTGAAATCCGGAGAATTGGGTGGTTGGCAAATTAGGCGAATATCAAATCCTTCTTGCTTATGACCTCACAAAATTACGGATCATCCTATTTCAAATGGGTAGGTGCATTATCTTGTTGAATGAATATTGGTTTGCCCACATCTTCTCTTGGCCATTTGGCACGAATGGTGGGCAAAACTTGGTTGATCATGAATTCTCTAATAACTTATCTTGTGATCGAAGTTATGGGCTTCATAATCATGTCTCCACGGACACGGCCGGTTCTCTCATTTCCTCTCATAGCTGGCTCATATCGAACAAGTGGAAAACAACGAATCCTACCATCAAAATACAATTCCCATCCCTAAATCTTGGCGAGCAACAACACACAAGAACATGATCTTAGGGATGTAGTTCTTGTTCTTACAAGTCCGATAGGCATCCTCTTCATCGGGTAGCAAATAATACTTTTTGATTTTTGATAGAGAAAGAACCACTTTTCATCAATGAACACAAAGTCATACAAATCCTTAAACCTTAGATCAGCAAGCAAATCCCTCTTAACCATGTCAACACACCACTTTAATCTAGACGTCTTGTTAGCTTGAGTGAGATATGGTTTGATGCTACTAGAGTGGCGAAGCAAACCTTTTTCAAATACTTTATAATAGTACATTTGCTCATGTTAAGTTTAGCACATACATCTTGATGGTCATTCTTTCCTTCAAAGGAATGTTACATAATACTTCCAAATTAATGAGGAGATGCCTTACGACTAACTCTACCCCTCTTACGACTACCAAGGTCAACCGGAATGTTATTTGCAAGTGCTATTTTACCTCGCTGCCACAGGCGCTGAACTGCACGTCTGTCATGACCAAACTGAGTAGCAACTTCTTTCGTATCATTCTTGCCTAGCTTTCCATTCTTGCTTCTTGCCAACAAAGCTTGGTAAACTTGCTTTCTCTCTTCTTCGGTCATGTCTTTCCTTCGTTGCCTAGCTGCTTGAACGGGGGCATGTTCTATTTATAGTAAAAAAAACAAGCATTAGTTGTCGGCAACATGTTCTATTTTTAGTGAAAAATGCAAGCACACGGAAAAAAATAACATGGGAATCGACTGCACATTCTAAATAACATGGAAAAAAATAAAAATGCAAAATTAATCTACCGGCTCTTCTAGTGTGGGTACGTACCAGCGAGGTTTTGTAGATAATGGGAATCGACTGCACCAAATTCATCTAGCGGCAAGTTTAAATCAAATCCTGTGACAAGTACAGTACGATTGAGAGGAAGAGATAGCATGGTAGCAAATGGATATGAGAAGAACAAGTACAGTACCGTTGTCATGCTCCAACGGAGGGTCGTTGAGCTCAAACGCAACGTCGCCACCGTTATCTTCGGGGTCGTCGAAAGCAAATCGAGCGTTGCCGTCGTCATCGGCTTCTAATCGAACGTTGAGATCAGACACAACATCAGCCATGTGATAGCTCAGTGAAGAAGTGGCATGGATGGGTCGTCGAGCCCGACGGCACCACCTACCGCAAGGTAAAGCCGCCGCCGCCGCTGCTCCTTGGTCCTTCCCCCCAGCTCGCCGGGCCGGCAGATCTCGTCTCTCCCCGTCGTCCCCGCAGTACTCGAGCCACAGCCCACGCCGATTCGCGACCTCCCCTTCTCGATTCCCCCACTCAATCGATCCCGAAGCGGGCGCATCTCAGCGTGCGCCGTGGCCTGGTTGGGTGCCTGCTGTACGGTGGTGTGAACTGTGTGTAGCTAGCTAGCTGTGCCTAGCTAGCTGTTCATTTTTTCTCCTCCATTTTTTTGGTGGGTGGGTGCTGCACGTGGACGATGGGCAAAAGGTACGGGATGCCAGCCTGGACCGCGCACGGGTGGTGTGCGGTGGGTGGAGTGATTGACGCGTTCGTGGAGAATCACCTTCGCGTAGCTGCAAATTTTGCCGGAGATGAGATGGTGCTTGTTAGATTCTCCAGGAATTGGAAAGGAGTCTGGCATCCAGTTCTGCTACTGCTCCGACCCAGCAGCGCTCATGTTACAGCATTTTGCTGTTGGTCCTGCAGCCCTGTTCCGCCCGTCGGATCAGCAGGACGATCTGCTGAGTTTAGTTTCGGTACCGAATTGGTTGATTGGTTGTTGGGGCTGCTCTTGCATTGATATGCACCTAGATAATCAATTCTATGCAAGAACAAGTTGCCATTGCCCGCTCCATTGCTTTATGTTGTGTCGTGTGTCGTGTGTGGACTGTCCTGAGGCATAATGTTGAGCATCTCTTACTTGCTTGGCACTCGTGTATTAATGCTCTTCCAGCTAAGGAGACTGGAAAATATGATTTGCAGTGTGAGCCTTGCACAAGCTGTTGCACGTGTGATCGTTGACTGAACTGTTTTGGGTACTACTTTATTATAGATAGTATAGATTTGCCATTCTCAACTATGTTGTTCTGACTTACAGATTAAGAGCTTTTTGGTTCCCATATAACGCAATGGACATAGCTGATGATAACAGATTCATGGATTTCTGCTAGTAGTTCTAGGAGATTGGTTCTGTTGTTAGTTAATCGAATGGTTCTAGTGACAACGCAACTAATCGTGTCTTCCTTTTCTCCCACAGGGAAGCAAGCCCATGGAACGCATGGATCATATCGGTTGCTCCGTGTCACCAAGCCCATGTTCATCATACCAAGTCAGTCCACGAGCATCATACAATGCAAGCCCTACTTCTTCCTCATTCCCCAGCGGTGCATCTTCCCCCTTCCTTCCTCCCAACGAAATGGTCAATGGTGGTATCGATGGCAATCCAATCCTACCATGGCTTAAGACATTCTCCAATGGTACTCCGTCAAAGAAACACCCGCTTCTCCCACCACTGTTGATCCACGGTGGCTCAATCAGTGCTCCAGTAACCCCTCCTCTAAGCTCACCATCAGTGAAAACTTGCGGCCAGGGGCGCGCCATGCGCCTCCCACGCAAAGCCAGGCCAAAATTAGCGAAAACTGATTCTGGTACGCGCGCCATGCAGCATAAACAGGCCATGCAAAAATGCGCCACTAGCAAAAAAAAAAAAAAACCAGCGCCCACCAGGCTTCGAACCGAGCACCTCGGCCTTAACACGTCGCTGCGCTAACCGTTTGAGCTAATGGATGTTCTCGTATAGCATGCACCCGAAAGTATATTTAATAGGGGCAGTGAGGAAAAACTCTACCCTAATTAATCACTTTTTGGTATCCTAATGCTGTCCTAAACGTTATTTTTTTGAGTAACGGAGGGAGTATTTGGTATTATAATATTAGTATTTTATTATAAAAAATTGGTTAAAGTTGAACGTGCTTGACTCTTGTCGGGCGGTGAGAACTCGCATTGGACGGAGGGCACATGTGAATGCAAGATTGGCTGATTGCGATTTGCATAGATTCTCGATCGTTGGTCAGTTGGATTTGGTGGTCCTCTCACACCAGGAACTCAAAGTGTGATGGTGACATGTAGTCAAATTTAGAACGAGCTTAAACTAACTAAAAAGTCATTATATATTCAATGAAAGGTAGTACTGTAGTCTAATCGGAACAATGAACACTTGACCATAAGAGGTGCATGAAAAGTAAAAAAAAGTTAGCTAAAAAAAAGCTAATGACAGGCCGGCTGTATTTTTGAACCTTTGCATGGCCACACGCTCCAACGCCCCGACGCCCGCACTGCACGCCCTCCTCCCCGACGTGCACGTGGTCATCTCCATTCCCACACGCCGCCGCTCCTCCCTCTCTCTCCCCTCCGGTGGCGGCGGCTGGTTCCGGTGGCGAGCTGCTCCCCGGCGAGCTCCTCCCCGCGCCCACCGCGCCATGGACAGCGGCTTAGGGTGGATCCAGCGGCAGCCATGGCAGATCCAGTGAGGTAGGCCTCCTCCTCCTCCATCTCCTCCTGGATCTTCGAGTTAGGGTTTCAGCGAGATGTCCCTCTCATCTTCCCCAACTTCGACGAGCTTAGAAGCGAAGGTTTTGAGTGGAAGGCCGGCCAAACGGTGGGGATGGTTGGAGGGCGGGTAGGGGCCCTGGCAGCGGTAAAGGCGGCCGGGCCAGGTCGAGGCAGGGGAGCTCTAGCGAAGCCCTAGTGCGCCGTGGCAGGGTGGTGGCAGCCACTACTACACAAATGATTTTGCAAGACGGTACCCAAATATTAACCGAGGCGGTCATAAAATTTGCCCGCCTCGAAAAATACTGGACGATTAATGGAGGCGGTCGGTTTCATTTACGGAGGCGATCACATTTGCCCGCCTCCGTAAATCGATTTACGGAGGCGGACGTCTTTAAACAGCCATTTCCAAAAATAGTCTATTTTTGGAGGCGGTTGTCTTAAGATGACCGTCTCCATAAATCTATTTTCGGAAGCGGGCATGCTATAAGGCCTGCCTCCTAAAATGCTAGAGCCTAGCCAAATCCCACGACCCACTCTCTAACGGGCTTATATAAATTGGGGAGATAGGGTTTCCATCCCGTCACTCCCTCAGCTCGCACCGCTCGGTCCTCCCGATGCGCCGCTCACTCCTCCCTCCGCGGCGCACGCTTTTCTCCTCCCTCCGTGGCCCTCTCCCTCCCTCCACTCTATCCCTCCCTCATGTAGCAGGCTGGCAAGCCTCCCCTCCCCTACGCACGCCTCCTCCCCCACGCAGTAGGTCGGCGTGCCTTCCCCTCCCCTCCCTCCCTCATTGCAGCGGTCGGTGGCAGCGGTGGCTGGTGGCGGCGGTGGCTCTCTCTCTCGCCGAAGGCTGGATCCCTATGGTAGAGGGCAGATCCGGGAGGCGTGGGCAGCGCTCGCCTGGCTAGAGAGGCGCCCGGTGGCGGTGCGCCTAGAGGAGGCGTGGTCGTTCCTTCTCTGGCCACGGTGGGCTCCACCATGATGGTGCTTAATCTAGAGTGCTCAACCACAGCGGCGGCTCCCTCTGTTGGACCATCCTAGATCCAGCGAGGAGGATGCCAGCCGTGTCTAGATCCGGCGGGGAAGAGGCCGGCCACGTCCAGATCCAGCGGAGAAGAGGCCGGCCGCGCCCAGATCTGGCGCGTAGGAGGCCGGTCGTGCCTAGATTCGGTGGGGTGGAGGTCGATAGTGCCCAGATCCGACGGACGCGACGGCAGCGGGCTCGATTAGGCCCGGCGGTGGCTTGATTGGGCTTGCTAGGTTTTTCTATTTTTAAAACCGATTAACGGAGGCGGGCTGCATAAAGCGACCGCCTCGGTTAATCGATTAATTGAGGCGAGCAAAGCAACCACCTCCAAAAGGTTGGATTAACTGTGACCTTTGATTGGAGGCGGTTGCAATGCCCGCCTCCATTAAGTTATTCTATACTAGTGAGCGGTGGGGACGAGTAAAAGGTCCTAATGGCAAGAGGGGGGTGAATAGCCTATAAAAATTTCTATAACAACACTAAGCAAAGCAGTTAGACAAATATGAGGTGAAGCAAATGTTGTGCTAGCATACTAAAAATGCAAGCCTCCTACCATAATTCTAGTTGCTATTGTCTCTAAGCACTCAAAGGCTAAGTCACTATTCTAAGTTAGTGAGCTCTCAAAGGCTAACTAAAGAGCCTCACTAACCAAACTAGACTGACACTTGCTTGCCCTCAAAACTAGCTACACTAAAGGGCTAAGCTACACTAAGAAATGTAAATACACGGGAAGGATGGAGTGTTATACCACCATGCAGAGGAAGGAGCCAATCACCAATGGAGCCAATCAATCACAAAGAAAGAATGACAATGAAGACCAATCACCTCGAAATCAAATGATGACACAATGATTTTTTACCGAGGTTCACTTGCTTGCCGGCAAGCTAGTCCTCGTTGTGGTGATTCACTCACTTGGAGGTTCACACACTAATTGGCATCACACGCCAAACCCGCAACCGAGTACCGCACAACCAACACAAGATGAGGACCACACAAGCCACGAGCAATCCACTAGAGTTGCCTTTGGCGCTCCATCGAGGAAGGCACAAGAACCCCTCACAATCACAATGATTGGAGCCGGAGACAATCACCTTCCTTCGCTCGACGATCCACCAATCACCGGGCCATCTTGGTGTCGGCAAACACCAAGAGTAACAAGATCTCCACCAGACCAAATCGCCCAACTAGTGCCACAAGAAGCTAGAACACTAAGCAATGCACTAGAGGCTCTCCAATCTCACTCAAGATGATGAAATCAAGTGCGCAAGTGAGTGGAGTGGTGTGCTCAGCTTTCAAAGGGTGTATGTAGCTGTTAGATGTGCCAAGAGAGTGGTCAAGGCCGGCCACTAGCTCTATTTATAAGCCCACAAGCAAATAGAGTCGTTACCCCTTTGAGTCAGCTTCTGCGGGGGCACCGGATATGTTGGTGTGGCACCGGACATAGGGTGGTGGTGCCCCTCCAACAATCATCCAACGGCTAGTTTCACTAGCTATTGGGACACCGAACAAGCGGCGGTGGCACCGGACTTGGGGTGGCGGTGCCACCCCAAGCCAGCTCCCCATTTTCCCTCTTCTCTGGATAAATGAGGCGGTGCATCGCCATGGGGTGGCGGTGACCGTGGTGGTGCCCGTCCCAGTTTCCCCTGCTCTCTATTGAAAAGGGACGGTGCCACCAGACAAGGTGGCGGTGCCCCCGGTGGTGCACCATCGTACCAGAGGCGGTGCACACCGCCACGTGCGGTGCCAGCCTCCACAACCTCGCTCTCAGCCGAGTCTAGGTGGGCACCACCCTAGGGGTGGCGGTGCCTCCTAGAGCACCTCCCTCTCGACCTCCACTGTCGGTCAACGTCACAGGGGCGGCGGTGCATCGGACAAGGGGTGGCGGTGCCCCTAGGTGAAAGGTCCTTGTTTGGTTTTGGTAATTGAGTGACAACCTAGGTGGACTAATTGTGTTTAATGTGAGATACACAGGTGATTAGTCCATAGGTACATGTATGTGAGCAACATATGCCATAGAGGTGAAAATGGCTCGAAGATATTGCAAAGCTCACACATGTGATGAAGGAGCTCATTGCATATGAGACATGACATTGAGTCATGTGACTAAGGTGGAGAAGATCAAGACAAGGCTTGGCTCGATGGACCGGTTGCAAGTGTGAAGGGCAAGTTGAGTGATGACTTGGAGCCGATGGATCGAAGCAACGACAAAGAGCAAGTGAAGTCAAGATCAATGAACCACTACGGTCACGTGATAATATGAAGTGGATCATATCATTTGTGATTGGTTGGTGCATGTGTTGCATCAATATTGGAGAAGAGGAAATGGAATGCGTAAGGCAAAGGTATAACCTATAGGGCATTTCATTTCACCGGTCATAGGTGTGTAGAGAAGTTTATGACCGGGTTTAGGATAGATGGCAGTACTATTAAGAGGGTCAAACTTGTTTACATATCGGTCATCTAGTGCCACTTGAGCGATCTAACTTTGTATACATGTTAGGATCGAGTGGCGTAGTGAAAGGAGTGCTAATCCTTTGGAAAAATGTTTGTGAAAAGCTAACATACGTGCACAAGGTGTTGTTCACTTGGTGGTGTTAGCACATTTGCAAAGGAGAAGAAGTTGGTGAAGAAGTGGAGGTGAAACCGGGCTTGGGGTGCTGCCTGGGTGGCACCGCCACCCTTGTGGCAGTGCACCGTCACCCCTGTGGCAGTGACCGACTGGGAGGCTGAGAGCAGCGAGTTGCCCTGAGGGCACCACCACCCCTAGGGCGGTGCCCACCTAGACTTGGCCAAGCGTAGCAGGAGCCGGGGTGGTCACCGGAAGTGGCGGTGTACACCGCCGCGGTGATGGCAGTGCACCGCCGCGCGCTATCCAGTGCCACCATCGTTTTTCAACCAAGACAAGGGAAGGCGAGGGGTCACCGTCATGGTCACCACCATGGTGATGGCGGTGCACCGCCCTAATTTTCTAGAGCGAGGGGTTTTCAGGTGGTTGGCCAGGGTTATCACCGCCACCCCTAGGGCGGTGCCACTGCCACCCCTGCCCGGTGACCAACGGCTAGTTTCTAGTCATTAGAATTTG